GTTTGTTTTTAAAAACCAATAAAACCTTTAAAAAAAAAAAAAAAGATGGAGCCAGAAACTTGGGTTGTTTAGTCCGTTCTTGTTCTGGTGTTTCTGGAGAGAGTTACCATTCCTGTATTGACTGTTATTCTTGGATGTGATGTAAGTCTGTTACTGAACTGTTTTTGATACTGGACTTTGAAATTGGATTATCCCTGTACTGAAAACTGACTGCTTTACCTGTGAATGACTTGGACTGCTTATCTTGGATTTGCTTAAATGTTTATGGGAAGTAAAAACCTACATTTACTGTACAGTGTATCTGTGTGCTGTGTATGTGTTATTCTTCACTACTCTCACTACGTCTCCCTGTATGCGCTCATTCTCCTAACGGAGAATTACCTCAACAAAACTATCCATTAAAACTAATTTATAAAAGCAGAGTGTCCCAAAGGTGCTTTTTTTAGGAGGCGACTGGACTTCCTTGTTTTTTCTTTGAAGACATTTCACTTCTCATCCAAGAAGCTTCTTTAGCTCTGACAGGATAGTGGGGAATGGAAGGATTTATATTCCTTGCATTCGAAGCAAAACATCTTCAAAGAGAAAACAAGTAAGTCCAGTTGCCTTTGGGGCAACCATGACCTGGATGACTGAGAATCTCTACAGACTTTTAGCTATATAACAGCTGTCTGCAAGGAATATAAATTCTTCCATTCCCCACTAACCTATCAGAGTTGAAGAACCTTCTTGAATGAGAAGTGAAATGTCTTCAAAGAAAAAACAAGGAAGTCCAGTCGCCTCCTTAAAAAAGCACCTTTGCGACAACCATGACCTGGATAACTGAGAATCTCTACAGGTAGCAGGGTGGTCATGCAATCCTTCCAAACCCTGAAAATGCAATCTGTGTCTCTCTTCAAAAGTTCCAAAGACAGTTTTATAAAAATAATATCAAAAAAAATTATATCCTAAATCTAAATATTCTATTATTGTGTTTTATTATCTAACCATTGATAAAAAAGATCCCAAACTTCATAAAATTGTTTATCTTCTTGTTCTCTAATTTCAAATGTCAATTTACTCATTTCAGCACAATCCAATATTTTCTTGATAATTTCTTCCTCTGATGGAATTTTCTCACTCTTCCAGTTTTTAGCAAATACAATCCTAGCCGCTGTTAATACATTTACAATCAAATACTTCAAATTTTTATTATATGTATCAGGTAAGATTCCCAATAAAAAAATCTCTGGTTTCAAGTCTATATGTGTCTTTATCATTTTTTCCAACCATATGCAAATTTTAGTCCAATATTTTCTAGCATCCTCACAAGTCCACCACTTTATTAAGATAGATTTGGTATGATCTTACGATTCGTTGCAAAATAAATTAAGTAAATTATACTTATCTCGTTAAAGTATGAATTAATAAAATTATAGTTAAATGATTTCTCAGTAATGATACTAGGTTATACAATTGTTGATTGATAATATGAGTTATTATGCAATATAATTATATTAGTGTTTAGGAAATGGATGCACAAAAAAAAAGTGGTAAACCAACTGATACACTGTTTGTAAATTTATGAAGAAGGATGAAGTTTTTATGTTTTATGTGGTATTTTTTATGTGGTTTTGTTTGTTGTTAAAATAAAAAACTTTTTTAAAAAAAGTTCCAAAGACAGATGCTAATTGATAAGACCGGAATATTTCAGTTAAGAATGTGAGCAAACTTGCTTCACTAGACTTCAGTGAATCATTTCTACAAGGTAATGCATCATTGATATATGACTCCAGAGAAAGTATTCAGAATGTATAAAGGTGCTTCAAATTTAAGTTGGAAATCTCAGCTACACAAATAGTCATTTTATCACACCTGGTGGATATATATATATATATATTCTCCCAACTTATAGATCTGCATGTCTCACTGCATATCACTGAATATACTACTTTGCTCAGTTTGTATCTGGGTGTTTTATCCTTCAGATAGACAAGCTTCTGCATTCCTGAGTTTAAAGTAGGCACATATGTAGTGTTGTTCAAAAATTCTCATGAGTTTTTAAAATATTTCTGCAACATATGGAATGACAATGTTGCTTTGTTTATTGTTCTTTTTGTCTGTTATGGAGGAACTACTACTGGAAATTTTTTCTGGATTTAATGAAGGCCCAGTTGGGATAGACACAAGTTCTGAGGGCTTCCTAGATTTGTTTTATTTTATTTTTCTTTTCCCTCTTTGCTGGTAGGCAAATCTTCAGCCCGATAGTATAGGGTTCTGATCACTTCCATGTTATGCTCCAGTTGGTGGTAAGAATTAAATTTAAAATACTGATCTTTGTGTGATGGTTTTCTGTAACAGGCTTCCTTAATGTATAACTACATAGTCTAAAAAAATCTCCTGGAAAAAAAAAACAATTCCTTTAATAAGGTAGGGATAAAAGTCTATTATCACTGGGAGTGGGTTGCTGGGGGTTCACGGGGGTTTGGGAGATCCTCTAGCTAAGATTCTGAAGAATTCAGAAAACCCCCAAATCCCACTCCTGGCTGGCCCCGCCGCGCCCACCCCACCTCTTCACGCGGCCCGTTTTATTAACAGTTGCATTAACAGAGGGATACAATCAAGATCAAGGGAAGTACTAATACCACTCTATAAAGCTTTAGTAAGACCACACCTAGAGTACTGCATCCATCACTACATTATAAAAAGATGGTGAGACTCTATAAAAAGTACAGAGAAGAGCAACCAGGATGATTAGGGGACTGGAAGCCAAAACATACGAAGAACAGTTACAGGAACCGGGCTTGGCTAGTCTAGTAAAGAGAAGGACCAAGGGAGACATGATAGCGGTCTTCCAATATTTGAGGGACTGCCACAGGGAGGAAGGAGTCAAGTTATTTTCTAAAGTCCTGTCGGCCAGACAAGGAATAACAGATGGAAACTGAACAAGGAGAGATTCAACCTGGAAATAAGGAGAAACTTTCTGACAGTGAGAACAATCAACCAATGGAACAGCTTGCCTTCGGAACTTGTGGGAGCGCCATCACTTGAGACTTTCAAGAAGAGATTGGACTGCCATTTGTCAGAAATGGCGTAGGGTCTCCCGCTTGGGTGGTGCGGGTTGGATTAGATGACCCACAAGGTCCCTTCCAACTCTGATTATCTGTTATCTGTTTTGGGTGCAGGTAAGTGCAGGGCACGCATGGAGACTCAAGGATGGCAAAAAATGGGCATCTCAGAACTTTGGGAAGGGCAGAAATGGGCCTGTTTCCAGCTTCCAGAGAGCCTCCAGAGCCTGGGGAGGCCGTTTTTGCCCTCCCAGAGGCTTGAGGAAAACCTCTGGAGCCTGGAGAGGGCAAAATGCCCCCCCACCATGGTGCGGGAAGCCAGCTAGGCCACGTCCATCATGGCCACGTCCACCCAGCAACTGGGCAGAGAATTTGTTGCTAAAATTTTTGAAGTCCACCCCTGATTATCATCATAATATCATTTTTGAAGGCTTAAAGTGATTAACAGTGGAACATTAATCATTTTTTTGCAAATTTTTCATTTGTAACAAATAAAAACATTTTATAAAAATCTATAGATCTTTTTCACATTTTATTCTAAACCAATTAAGAGGAAAACCTATAAGCAATATTTTACATTATTTAACTATTAAAAATAAGATAGTTATTTTCAAATGAAGTATGATTTTTCTAGGCCAGCTGTTGCTAGAAGTCTTGCCTGAACTGTAATTAATGCAAGCAACAGATAAAAACAAAAAATCTAATAGAAATTACTAATAAAGAAAAGGGGTAATTATTGTGTTTTTCATTTTTGTTATTTTGTTTGAGGAAATAGTTTATCTTTATTCCATCTGACTACAGGGAAATCCATATTGTTGGACACAGTACTGTGCAAATACCATCACAATCAGTATTTTGTAAGCATTTAAGCAATGGTATGTTTCCTACCATTATTTCATAATTGCTTCAGTTCTGTCCTTAATGAAAAAAACAGTCTGTTAGAGGGGGGAAAAGAACAAAAGTGTAACAGGTCAGAAGTTTATGTTCAGAGATTATTTTACATCTCTTCCAAAGTATATTTTATAAATATAAATGAGGAGCTCATTCTATCCAGGTTTATCGGAGTTCACTTCAATTGCACCATATACAGATAGTCTAAAACTTACAACAGTAAGGATTCTGGAAGCAAACCAAGTTGGCTGAATTTACTGTATAGAAGTAGGGAAAGATAAATAAGAATTGCAGAACAAGGGTAAAAAATAAAAAGTAAGCCTTCCAATTATGTGCTCATTTGATTGGTAAAGGTAGGAGCATTACTACCAATTAACAGCCCATCTAAGAGTTACCCAGATGTGAGATGTGTGGCAAACAATTTTAAAAATAAATAATAAAATAAAATATAAACCCCTATAGTCCAGATCCACATCTGCACTGTGTGAAAATAAGGCTGCTACGTATGAAGGTCATTCTTAAGGATGTAGGAGAAGCATTTCCAAGCATTAAATGGAAGGCTGATAAAACAGGATTTCAGTTCCATGATACAATGAATTACTTCATTCAAGATTGGACAGCAACATATTTATTTATTTGTTTTTTTTATTTTATTTCAATACATTAAGGTGGCATACATAGCAATCAGTTTGCTCTATAACAACCCACTAACAAAAGTATTTGAAAGAATAAGGGAGAAGCTAAATAAAAGTCTTGGAACTCTTGAGGGTCAAGACTAGTGAAAGCAATTATAGAAATTGATTGTCTGCAATAGCATCAATAGTCATTCATACATAACATGTATAAGAAGAGCAGGGTAGACATAGTAGCATATAGAAGGATTCCATGAAATTGCCATCATACCAAAATCAATTACTACCTATAGCTGTATTGGAGTGCAGCTGGAAGTTCTGAGGCAATAGAAATACCTAATGCCAAATATGTAGTTCTAGAGGCCTAGGTTCTATTAGGTTGGAATAAACTCTGGAGAGTCGAGATTGTCTTGAATCCCAATCTGCAAGCAAGATCTGGGGAATTGTAGAAAGTGGTGAATTGGCCTGGAAGAGAATATTTAGAAGCTGTTACAGAAATACCGAGCCCAAGAGCATCCCTAAAGCCCTGAGAAATGAGACCCGGCCTGGCTCCTCTTTCATTAAATGGGTACAGGAGATAGAAGGTAACTCATAAACAGTTTTGCATATAATGAAAAGTAGTTCTCGTGTTACTATGGAATCAGTTCTCTGATCTTGTCTTTTAATCCTGACAAGCCATATGCTGTGATATTTCCACCTTCCTCAAAAAGTAATGTATTTTGCTGTTTCTTACAACTGAGGCACAATAGGCATTCTAACACCAACAGACTACAGTAGATGCTCCACATTAAAGACATTGGTGGTGTGAATAATGATGTACCTTCTCTTGTGCAACAAATTGATACCTATAGAATTCCAAAATCTCAAGACTCTTTTCAACTAAATTACTTTTAATCCATTATGGATATTATAATGGAAGGATACATCAAAGTAGGGTTAGTAGATGGATAACAGGATTAGCATAATGAATACAATAGTAACAGCAGTTTTATTATTGTAACACTCACAAGGAATGAAGCATGTTGAAAACTATTTTTTGACCAAAATGACATCAAATATATTTCCTTTCTTGAACTGAATATTTGTAAATCCAGCTGTATTGAAGAGTATACAATATTCTGATGCTGTCCGCACTTTTCCTTCAGAATGAAGCAACATTATAATGGAGTACATATGAGCAGGAAAAGACCCAGATATTTCTTGATCAATAGTTGGTTCCACTACTAAGACTCCACCACCTGTTGCAAAAGTAATTTGTTAACTCAGGAATAGGTTGCCTAGAAAAGAAAAAGTGCCCATACATCTTATTTTCATTCCTATGGCTGTGGCCTTTCTCCCACTTTCTTCCTCTTCTAAAAACATTGTTTTGATCTTTTTTTCCCATGATCTATTTTAGTTTCCTCAGAGTCCTAAAAAATACCAAAATATTTTGCCAATCCACAGCTACTGCTGCATTCTCTAACTCATAACATGTACTATTTTAGCCCACTTAACATAGATTTGCTCTGCCTATATTTCATGACTGAAGCATCATGGAAATTCTAAAGAATCTTTTCACAACAGGACTTTTCTTAAATTCAATCATAAGTGGCATTTTTGTGTTTTGTTAGCGTAAGAAATAAATAGGCTTTATTATAGGTTTCATAGGTACTTATGGGAGGAAGTGGATTCCACACTATAGGAATGGCTCAATGTTATTTGCGACTGTATTTCAAACTGTCATGGTCCTATTTCTTCTCCAAGTCCAGATTTAATAACTAATAAATGTTGTTTGTGCTTTGAAAACTGTCAAACTGTCACCTCAAGGAAACTTTAAGTTTAGAAAAGAGTTGTTTTGCCTGCAAATTGATCCATTTCTAATTTTATTAGATAGAAAAGTACCACCTTTCTATCTGCAAATCTATTACCAGATACTTTGACCTTGCAGTCTAGGATTAGGGTTAATACATCCCAACTTCAGGTAGTTCTCAATTTACAGCCTCATTCAGTGATCATTCAAAATTATGATGATGTTAACTCTTACCTGAAGTTATGTCCATTGCAATGCACCTGCAGTCATGTGATGAAAATTTGGATGCTTAGCAACACACCAGCACTAATCCTCTATCCTGCCCACCAACATCTCCCCCTCCCATCTTTGTTGCACATCCATCCCTCCAACAGACATAAAGCTGCCATGGACCTGGAAGCCTTGGTGTGGTCCCTGCCCACTTTTCTCACCCAAGAGAGATGGCCCAAGAGTTCTCCTTGCCCCACCGTACCTTGGTCTACTACATTTGCCTTTTTGTGTAGCTACTGACAGGTGTGCCAAGCAAATGTGAGGCACAGCCAAAAAGCTAGCAAATGCTGTCTTTGAAGGGTAGAAAGGCTAGCACAAAAAAACAGAGAGAACTTTTGTGTGGAGTGGAGAAAGGAAACTGGAATCCTGAAGACCCAAGCTTCCTTTCTCTAACCAAGCACAGTAGTTCTTTTCTGTAGATAAAGTGGAAGGGAACTCCTATACTGAGCCAGAGAAAAGAAGCTTAGTTCCTGAAGGTCACAGATTCTTTTAGGTCACAGATCAAACACTATCTATATTTTATCAAGAGAAATGGTGTTGATGTTCCAAAGCGTTAGGGTTACTATGGAAAAGAATCACCAAGAGATAAAGTACCTAATGCAAGGCATATATGGGAAAATATGTTATAACTGATGATGAATGAAGATCAAAGAGTACAGGAAAGAGAGGAGATAGCAGAAAGAATGGAAGAAAAGATTGAACAGACAAACCAGCAAATAAAGCAGGAAGATGGGAAGGAGAAGATGATAAAGACAATAATGGCTGATTAAATAAACCAAGGGAAAAGCACTTTAAGAGATTTAGAAAGGGAATTGGAAGGTATTTTTGAAAGGGAGATAGGTTTTTTGATGGATACTTCAAAAGACCTGGCAGCTTAGGAGGATAGAGATGGGAAAAATATTCAGTCTCAATGATGAAGATACAGATGTTGATAGAGATAAAGTTCCAAGAGTGGAGTATGAGAGGCAAGCCAAAAAAATAATTCCAAAATAAGGATAGCCTGATAAGAAATTTGAATAGAGGTAGAAATAAGAATGCACACCTTTATATGAAGCAATAGTTAGATGGAAAGATTGGAGGTTGAAAGAGAGTATTGTAAGGCATGTTTAAATAATAGGAAGATTGGTACTTAAATGGCATATTTGAATGATCATATAATGAAGAGCTACGCCTTATATAAACTTAGGTATTAATATTAGGATTAGCAAGGGTGACCTGACTAGAAGTTAGAATAGAGCTAGAAATAAGAAATAGGGGGAATATTAGCAGATATTATCTTTATACAATAGAATAAAAGTAATAATTTGATGGAAAAGATTAGAGGTTGAAAGATGGTGTTATCATGTATGCTTATAATATCATTGGCATTAAAATGGAATATAATATTGAATAACTACCTTTTTTTAAAAAAACCATGTATATTAATACTAGGATTATATAAGTTTGATTAATATAACAACCATTATGAATATCATTATTGATGTTTCTATCAAAATGAATTACACCTAGGGGCCACACTGTTCCTGTAGTGATATTGATGTTTATTTAAAAATAAAAATCTAATAAAACTTGGGGGAAGGGGAAAGCAATGGGGACTTGATTGGCTTACTTCTCTTCCCATTCACAATGACAGTTTTTCTCTTTCTAGCAATGTGAATATACCTACCTGTCTTACAGGTTGTAAATATTTTTGTAAGTAGCTGGATACACTTTTCATCATTCCAATTAAACAAGACTCTTGATAAGATGTAAAGATCTGCTTCAGGAATTGGCTCTTTAAAGAAATCTCCTTCAATAAAAAATAATTCTGTTAATAATGTAAGAATTGAAGTCTTATCACCTTAGAAACAGAAATTATTCCCCCTTTCACAAAGCTTGGCTCTACAATGCTAGTGCTTTTTGAAATGGAAGTTATTGTTTCAAAACACATATTACCTTCATGGAAAGTGATCTGGGAGTCTTCTGAAAATGCATTATATTTTTTAGATATTTCCACAACTTCAAGAAGATCTAAAATTTTCACAGTACAGTTTGGGTACTTTGAAATCAATTCTTTAGCTAAGCCACCACTATTTCCTTGAAAAAGAACAAAATGTAAAAAAAAAGGAACTATGTAAGAAAAAATATCCTGCATGTCAACATTTTTAACAATTTACTAGAATATTTATGACTTCAAATAAACCTTAGGTCATTGTTTTATTTTTCATCCAGCTGGGCTAATCAGGCATATAATATTACAATTTTTAAAAAATATATTCATTAATATATATATATATATATATTTTGTCTGATTCCTTCTATATTTTTGTATTTTTATTACTGTCCTTTTACTATGCACATATTTTTTTATTTCTTTGAAAATCTATTTACTAAGTATTACTTCTCATTCCTCTCCTTTTCATCACTTTTTCCTTGATTATTTTGCTTTATCAAAACTAAAGACCACCATTTTCTAAGCGGCTGCAGTGAAATTAAATCAATATTTTTTTCTACACCATTGTTTATAATTCCATGCAATAGTATCTGTTTTAAATCAGTGTTTGTCTTATTCCATTCTATGAAACCATTTTCAAAACTTAATACCAGTTGTATAAAATGGATAACTGCTTGATGGGGATGATAATAATTTTAATCCAACATAATTTCAGAGCATGATGTTGGGAAAGGAAGTTCTATAATTTTCATATTTTTATGGTCATCCCAGGTACAATTATGAGAATTTCCCAAAATTTATTTGAAAACAGCTCAGTTTTGCAATGTGTTCACTGGAGATTGATAGCAAGTACTACTTTATCACATTAAGATACATGGTTAGCAAAGTACATACTGTATATGTAGAACTGTGATGAATTCTGTAATGTTTTTCATACTTTTTTTTTTCTTTGTGTACCTTCAATGTAGTCTCGAATCCTGGCAGCTACTTGGACAAGTTCCTGCTCTTTTCTTGTCAAGATTTCAGAACTGGTTTACCATTGCCCCTTCCTAGGACTGTGAGAGACTGGCCCAAGGTCCCCTAGCTGGTTTTATGAAGGATTAGAACGCACAGTGTCCTGGGTTCTAGTCAGTACACCACCTGGTTCTCTTTTCATAATTATGCATCATAGCAATAACTCACCCAGGCAAGGGAAGAAAAAAGAAGAAGAGTACTTTCATCTTTAACATTTTCCCACCTCTTCCCAAACAGTCTCAGGACTGTTGCTAGTTACTTTGAAATATCCAGGAATTCTGGTAAACAATTTTAAAAATAATTTTTTTATCAATAAAATTCAAACCTCTAGGAAAAACAAAATCACAGGATGGGAGCTTGTAATTCTACTTTTGCAATTGGAGAATTACAAGATCTCCAGAGTATCGTATGGCATTAAATTGATAGTAAGGGGCATGATGAAGACCGACAGATACTTACCACCCAGATCACAAATGAGCTGAAAGCCAGAAAGATCAAAGGCAGAGACGACTTCTTTTCCATGCAGACTCCAAGCCTCATCCATGTACCTGAAAAAGCTTTCAACGCCTTCCTTTGATCTAGAATTGAAATTTGTACTGGCAGATGATTAACAGAGCTACAACTAAATAAAATACAACATGAATAACATCTGACCATGAAATTAGAATTGCACTCTTCATTATTCTCTTCATTTTTGCAGGTTTTTGTGTTAATACTCTGGTTTTAAAGATATTATGCTTAATATCTCGATTGAAGTGTAATGGCATTAGGTGTCTGTTTGGGGGCCGAATGAATTATTCCCATTTTCATTTAGTTTATGTTCTTAGTAATTCCTGGCCAGAATTGCTGAATATGCCAATAGGTGCCTCAGGCTCAGCTGTTTTTAAAGAATCTCAAAAATAGCCCAAACTTCAGGAGTTTTTAATTATTTCCAAGCCAGAAAATAATGATGTTATGAGTTTTGGAGCAGAAAATAATGATAAAAAAGACAAGATACAGCACTATTCAGCACATCTCTCCACACCTTCTTCTCCTTACAAACCATCTTCCACAATTTCCATTAATTGGTGATAAATTGCCCAGTAGACAATTTGCAAACTAGTCTCCAAATTTGTGATTGTACATTGGATGGAACATGAGCATAGTTAGAGCAAAGCTGAGCACATTGACCAAAGTCAATGTTGAGTAGCATTGCTGATGTACTCTGTCTTATTAAAAAAACGTTTATGAAAGTTAAAAAAATGCTCCTTTTACCTGTACACAGGTCCATAAAATTCCTTTGAAGAAATGCCATATATTGATAGAATCTGAGGTTTCCCATCTCTGTAGCAATTTTTTTTAATTGAAAAGAACAAAAATACCATTAGTGATTACATTTTTTTTTCTTTCCAGCATCAAATAGTACTTACATTTAATGAGTCATATTACTGCAAAAATTACTGTAAAAATAGCACAGGCTCTAAACAATACTAGAACCCTGTGAAGTGAGTGAACTGGAATTAAACCTTTATATCCATCTGGATTCACTACTTTTTATTATTACTTTAACCAATTCTTTCACCGGCTTTTTTTAAACTTTGAATATTAAGCTCTCTGAATTCTGATATTTCATCAAATGAGTTTTGCTTCAATCATCAAAATGTCTTTCTAAAGTCAAAAGCTAAGACAATTTAAAGATTTTTAACTGGGTTAATAACCTTAACCCAGCTCTTTACAAGTTAGTTTTGTATATGTCTGTCCAGGCGTGCCTTTATATAGATAGGCACCTTCTCCAAAGATGTTGAGCAAGAATTATATTTTGATTAAGTGAATAAGTAACATGCACCACTGAAAAGTCCAAAAGGAAATGTGTGTGGAATCAGTGCATAACCACTGCATCTGTTGAAACTCCACCTCTCATAAGGAACACAGAATGGTGCTTAAACAAACCCATAACTTCAAAGATCATTAGTTATTTGACCTCAGGGGAGATACCTGAGAAAACAGGCAAGCTGTATTGAATAATGATTATTTTAGATTAATTTAGTGCAGGGGTGTCAAACTCAAGGCCTGCGGGCCAAATCCGGCCCACGGGGTGCTTAGCTCCGGCCTGCAGAGCTGCCTTGGAAAAAGCTAAGGACTGGCCCGCGGTACTTTGGCTCGGTCTAGGCTGATGGAATGCTAATTGTGGCAGCCAACCAGGCCAGAACGTGGTCAGCCTTAGATCTGTGGTGCTGCCCTAAACCCAGAGAGAGGCTGCTCCCTTCCCGCCCCTGGACATGTGCAAAGGAGTTAGCAAGTGCATGCGGGGCTTGGCGTCCCCAGGGACTATCATACCCCACAGGCTGACTGTGTTCAGAGCACTTCCCTTTCTTCCAGGACGCACAGGGGTTGGGACCAACATGTCAGGGCAGTCTCTCACTGGCTCCAGGGGATTGGTAGGTTGGATCTCAGGCTGACCATGTACTGGCCCGGATGGCTGCTCTTCTTCCTCCTTTCTTTCTCCAAGTTACAAGTTCAGGCCCATGTGTGGGTAAGTTTTTAATTCCCAGATCTTTGAATAGTAGGCGGTAAAGATTCATGGCTGGCAATGAGCACAGGCTGGTTGCTGCTGGAATCTGGCAAAAAGAAGCAGGGAGAAGTGCCTGAATATCGTTTATTTTATTTTGGGGAGGGAGGGGGTCAGGGAAGAAAGCCATGCAGGCCTCTCAAGTGAGGGGGGCCCCACAGAGTGGAAATGTGCAAAGAGAATGGGGAGCTCTCATTCATTTGGGGTTCACAGGGGGGAGGAGCAAACAAACGAACAGGGAATTTTTGTTTTTGTTTCTATTCTTTTTATTTTAATTTGCCATGGCTTTTTCTGGGCCTCTGACAACTTTTGATGTCCTTCATCCCAAGTTCATTCATTTGGAAGTAGGAACTGGGGGAGAAAATTGAAATTGGGGAAGAGAAAGGAAATCTCCGTGGAAAGGGCTGTCTGTATATCAATACATTTGATTCTAATTCCCATCTCCTTCCTTCCTCTATACTCAGGAAGAGAAGAGGGGAGGGGGAGATATTGGCAGCCCTGAGTATGCGCACAGGAGGCAGCGAGCGTGCAGAGCCTGGCATCCTGGGTGAAAGTGAAGCTCTCAGAACTCGGTCAAATTGCAGGGCAAGACAATGCTCAGGAATGGCAAGCTCTGTGCACTTGCTGCCTCCTGAGCATGCGCCCAGGGATCCCAATCTCTCCCCCTTTCCACATCCCTTTCTGAGCATGAAGGAAGGAGATGAGAATGAGAATTGAGGGAGGGAAGGAGGAAGATTGGAGATGCCCCAGATCATGCAGTTCTGCATCAATCCTGGATGTATTGAGGCTTAGGTTCAAAGGAGAAAGCCATTTTGTGTTCTGTTTTGTCACAGACAAGAACTTTGTTGGCAATCCAAGTTAACACGGGTATTTTTGAATTGTGAGCTCTTAGGAAAGTATCCCCTCCTTGTGTGTTGCAAACAGCTATTTCCAATGGGAAAACAGGACAAGGAAAGAGGGGAAGAGAGCAAGGAAGGAAAAAGAAGGAAAGATGGGAAGGAAGAAGAAAGAAAGAATGAAGAGGGAAGGAAAAAGAAGGGAGGGAGGGAGGGAGGGAGGGAAGGAAGGAAGGAAGGAAGGAAGGAAGGAAGGAAGGAAGGAAGGTGATTATAACGAGAGAGAGTGAAGGTCTGAGGGAAATCCTGCCTTACTATTTGGCCACTATCAGCCCTGCTTCCTTTTGCCATTTCCTTGTCCCCTCCCCTTGACCTTTCCTGGTGGTCTCCCATCCTATCCCTGAAGATACAAAGCTGGGTTTCCTTCAAGGAGAGGGAGTGGGCCTTGCTCTGACCGACACACTTTGCCCTTCCACATACACAATGAACAACCTGACCAAGGAGAGAGAGCACAGCAGCAGTGGGAGCTGGCCATGTCCCTTACGCCCCCTCCAGGTCAACCACAACCCTGATGCGGCCGTCTGTGAAACCTTAGGGCATAATCATAAAAATGATACAATTTCCAAGTGAGGACTCAAATCCCAGTTACTTGTGAGGGGGGGAAAGCATTCAAAGAGACCTGTCTATAACATGCTCTTGGCTAAAAGATTTTTATTTCACCAATGCTCCTTTCTTACCTTACAGCTTCAGGTAAGTATTGCAGTGATAAATATCCATATTCTGAAAAAAATTTCATGGTATAATACTGAGACTTTGGGCTTGATTTAGCCAGAAACAGATCAGCAAACTCTGTGTTTCCATAAAGATCTAAAAATGAAACCATAAGACAATTGCTTCAAAACACCATTGCTGAATTCCATATGCTTTTGAGATGAATGAAGCATAAGGTCCATTATAAATGATTACATTTCAGTTTATTTCAGTCACAAAACCCAAACCATTTCAACTGCCATTCCAAAAAGAGGTCCTGACGATGTTGAAACAAGTCACAGTCTGGCAAAGTGGCTGAGTTCTCTGAACATAAGCTTTATAATGTAACAAATTAGTGAGAAAAAGTCACAAGTTAACTATGAATAACCATTTTAAATTAAAAGAATGAGAAAAGAATGGCCAGAAATGCTATCTCCATGAAAAAGTATGCTATGTGGTCATTTTTAAATAACCGCAATTGCTTCTCCCTGCTAACAGGATCACCTTTGCCCTCCTTCCGTTCCACTTTCAGGACCTTTAACCCCACACAGGCCCCCAGCAGTGTCTGCATCCCGGTGAGACTGGTCTTCAAGCGCTCAGCCACAGTCGCAGAGGACAGCGGTTCCCCCGACTCCCTCAGCAAATCAAAGACACCCAGCTCACTTGCAGTAAATATGATCTGGAAAGACATGGGCAAATGTACAAAAAAAGAGAAGATGTGAGTACAGATTTAATTTTTTTAGGGTTTCGGATAACACAGAGAACCATACTTGCACTCCAGAGAATGATATGTTCTAGAAATCAAGAATTATTATATATGGAAACCAATTTGTCTTTTTATACATTTGACATAGTTTTGGCAACAAAAGATCAATAAATGTTTTATACCACTCAATAAGGTACCCATCTTATCTTGTTTTTTTACAACTTGTTGTTTTAAAAATTATGTATTTAATTCTACCTCAGGTAGAGGAACAAATAACAGCTGTTTTTCTGTATCATCTAAAGATGGTATATTAATTTTATTTTAAAAGGCTTCTATATTGTCTTCAGTACAGTGTCTGGTTTATTACAGGTAGTCCTCCCTTATCAAGGGGTCATTATACAACGATTTGAATTTACAATGGGCACAGAATGGGTGCTTTATAGCCTGAAAAGTAACCCCAGACATCGTAAATGGTAAGAATGCCCCCTTGTGGTCATATGAATGGATGTTTAATAAATCAGACTTTATTACTTCCAGCATTCCACAGTCACATGACTGCAATTCCTACTGCTTTTCACCAGTTTCTGGCAATAAGGGCCATTCAAATGAATAGATTTACTTAATGATTTGGGCATTCACTTAATAATTGCAATAGTTGCTTAAGTGCCATAAAAAAGGTCCTAACTTTACTTCTGATCATGCAGGTACTTTCACTTACAATCCTAATGACTTACAATCATATTTCAAGGCTCAATAATGATCATAAGATGAGAAATGCCTGTATATAATTCTGATTTTTTTTTCAAAATTGATACTTTATAGCCATTGAAATTTTACACAAATGATATGTTTTTGTAAGTTTGAATATCTAATACATTATTTGTAAGTATTACATATCTTACTTTTGAAATTAAAAACGAATGCTGGTAACGAAAGAACATTTTTATATTTTCAGTTTCTTCAGATGAATGCATTGTGTTCTTAGGAAGTTCTGCAACAGTCCTCTTCATATTAAATCAAAAATATTAAATCTTCAATTCGCTAGGCCAGCACTTTAGATATGACTTGATGCCACAGTCAGGAAGTCAAAGCTGCAAAAATAAATAAAGCCTTAAAGGAATTGTTTTAAATAAAGTATGGAATTTAAAGAGAAATCTCCTCTGCTGGGTTCGAATTTCCCACTGGGAAGCATTGCCGGCGCGACGTAGAAATTGAGACGGAAACAGCTGCTAAAAGCAAGGTCCTCTTTATTTGTTGCAGGAAGGAGTACGCGTTCCTGGGCTAGCAACCGGACTTTGAATAATTGGATGTTTTTATAGCCTTTTTGCCTTAGGAATTTGTGTTTCAATAGCTTTTGTGTTTCTATTACCTTTATTGGTTTGTGCCTCGTGTGATTCCTGTGCTTAATAGATTTATTCCTTATTTGGGCTTGTTTGGAGGGCTGGCGGGGAGTGGTTGCTAGGGCTTGATTGGATTTCTAATTTAATCTTCTTATCTGTCCTAAGTGTCTTTTGAAACTGGTATGGTGTTCGTGATCAATCTTGGTTGTTTCCCTGTTTGTTTCTCCTTGTAGTTGTGGTCATTTGTCTTAGGTGTTTTGTATTTCTTTATGTTTTCCTATCTTGGAATCTTTCTATTTCTGTCTTTTCCCTTCAGGGCTATTAGTTTCTATAAGAGGTTTCGATGTGCTGACTCTGAGATAACTTTCTGATCTCAATATGTTTGGAGCTGTAGCTTCTTGTGATTAAATAGCTTTTGACTGTGGTCTGTGTTTTTCCTGGCTATTCCTAATGTATTTTATTAGACTTTTCCTTATGATTTTATGTGTCTTCTTCATGTTCCCTTCCTACAAAAACAAAAGGAAAGGAAAATTTCATTAAATATATGGCAATGAGAATCACACTATTTAATTTCACAAAGAGGGAATTTAATCACATATTTCTGAAAATTCGAAGAGTTTTAATCATAGAAATCTAGAAAAAGCTCACTTTCTTCCTTTAGAGAAAGATCTGAATGCAGATTTTATGGGGAGGAGAGAACAGCTTGAAAATTACAGCAAGAATATGCTTTTAAAAGATGTTAAAGGATTTGAAACTCCAAAGAAGGATGAAAATGCAGATTTAAAACAGATCAAATATAATGTGATAATTTAGCAATGTTGTTGTACAAAGGGACTATACAAGGAGACTTTTTAAATTATTTAACTATTTAGAATACATAAGTCTTTTCAGATGAAATCAATTTGCAAGTTAACCTATTGCCTTTTTCTTCTCTTAGATCCCTAGACTGCAATGAAAAACATAGCAAAGGGGGAAAAAAATCTAATACAAATATTAATCAGGAAGATTTCAATGTGAACTAATTATGGTGTTCTTCAGAGTCTTCCGATATTCCATTTTAAAAAGTAAAGACATGAGTCTTTACTTGACGCCTTATGAGACCATGGATATTCATCTTCTCCTCCTGGGTGCAGTATTGCACAATTACCATCAAAAAGACCAATAGACTAGACCAATTGCTAGACCAATACTCGAATACAACTCATCGGTCTGGAACCCACATTATGTATCTGATATTAGCACAGTTGAGAAAGTCCAGAAATATTTCACAAGAAGAGTTCTCCACTCCTCTACCTGTTGCAGAATACCTTATGCCACCAGACTTGAAATTCTAGTCCTAGAAAACCTAGAACTACTCCACCTTCGGTCCGATCTAAGTATAGTATATAACATCATACATTGCAATGTCCTACCTGTCAATGAATACTTCAGCTTCAACCATAACAATACAAGAGCAAACAATAGATACAAACTCAAGGTTAACCGCACCAAACTTGATAGCAGGAAATACACCTTCAGCAACAGAGTGATCAATGTCTGGAATACTCTACCTGACTCTGTGGTTTCTTCCCCAAACCCCAAAAACTTTAACCTTAGACAGTCTACTATTGACCTCACCCCTTTCCTAAGAGGTCTGTAGGGGGCGTGCATAAGCGCACCAACGTGCCTACCGTCCCTGTCCTATTGTTTCTTTGTTTCTTATTTGTATCCATTTCATGTATTCATAATCATGTTTATACTTATACCTGTTATCTAATAATCGCTTGACAAAATAAATAAATAAATAAATAAATAAATAAATAAATAAATAAATAAATAAATAAAAATCCCTTTGGTAGAAAAACAAATCTGGTCACGTTTCCAACTTTAAAAGCTGATACAAAAATTTATGCCACCAGATAAAGACTGAATGCACCAATTATCACATTAAACAAGAGGAAAACCTTCTACGCACCAATTCCACCCGCACTTTCTACAATTTTGTAAAAACAAACTGAAAAACTCAAGGTCCATCCCACCCCTAAAAGAAGCAAATGGTAAAGACTGCAATAATGACACCATTAAAGCCAACTTCTTTAACACATTCTTTTTCTAGTCAAACTGACAACTACAATGATCTAACACATGTCGATTTTACAGAAGACTATGTTGAAAAAGCACTACACAATTTAAAACCATCTCTGTCTATTGGACCGGAGGGAATTTGTGCCTACTTCTTAAAAATAATACCCACTGCCATAGCTGAACCTCTAAGCATAATCTTTGAAAAATCTTTCAGGACCAGCTCCTTGCCAAACCTATGGTCACTAGCCATGGTCATCCCCATCTTCAAAAAGGGATACCCCAGGCTAGTTGAAAATTACAAACTGACTTCTGGTGACAGGACAGGGATGTCCAGAGGTGGAGAAGCCCAGCTGTGGCTTTCAAACACCTCTTCTAGCATTTGGAGTGATCCTTAGTGGATACACGAAACCCGTAGAACTTCGTGTCAGCATAGAGGACCCCCAGGTTGCTTTTTGGGGGAAGGCAACCCCCCAGCAATGAAGGAAGAGCCTCTGAGACCAGCACGAACAAGTCAGTTGCCAGCAAATGGTGGCTCCAAAGTCCGGCCTGTCACTGAACTGATGAAGGGAAAAGTGACAGCCTGAAAGATCCGAGCAGAAAAGAGCGGAAGGACTATAAAAGTCGTGACAGAGATCGGTGTCTGATCCTCCCTGTTTTGATGTGAGTAATAGTTGTTGGAACCTGGAGATAAGCGGCTAGAAAAGCAGTCTAAAAAGTGAAAGGGGGGACAAAAGCGGGCGGAGAGGCTCGTTACTTAAAGTGAAAGTGTGGATTGGAGCATTCAGAAGGAGATTGCCAGTGAGAGAAGAAGGCTGCGGGGAATTCAAGAGGCTTGTGAGGGAACTGCCATCTGAGACTGGTTCCTGAGAAGACCAGAAGATTAGCAAAGGATTATAGCTGTGAAGGAGGGAAGAGCAGGGCACAGAGAGTGGGATAGCGATCCGCTGACTCTTATGTGAAAGGTCTTCTGCCTGCTAGCAACGTTGCTTACAAAACTGATTTCTAACATGACTGATTTGGAGCGGACACTCTAAGTGACAGTGGATTGATGATTGCTGGCAGAAGGGAAGAAGAAAAGAGAAGAAGGAGAAGGAAAGGGATAGACGGAAGCCTGGTAAAGATTGATCGCGGAGCGCTGACAGCAATTAGTCAGCACTTCCTCCCTTTGCTCCTCTGGCTCACCCAGGAAGAAAGACTATAAGGCAGAAACGCCAGCCTCAACTCAGATTTGCCTTCCTTTGGTACCAATTCCACAGACACGTGTCTAGCAACCCTCAAAATCTAAAATACCCTTTTTCTTCCACACCCTCTCTTTCTCCCTTTCTCTCTTAGTCTTTCCTTTCTCTCTACAGTATTTATAAATTTATAATAAAGGAAAATTGCTTTTTACAGATATAAGTATTAACTGATTAGAGTGTCTTGAATATATAATAATTCTAAGGATTGTTAAATATGGTTGATTTAGATTAAGTGGAACTCTCAACATTAACACACAATATAGGATAAAGGTATATATAGAGTGAGAAATCTTAGAGTTGTTTGTAAGCCTTAAATAAGTTTGACCTGACATGGTATTGATTTATTAGTTGTAAAATATAATTGACTTTGGTATATAAACTTATTATAGAGAATAATATATAGTATTTGATAACATTTTATAATATTGGAATTTAAATCGCCCAAATGACAAATTGGGCTGTAGAAAGAGATTAAAACAACGTGGTGGTGTAATTTTAGTAAACAGACCTGTAATCACATTCAAGGGGCTATAACACTGAATGGTGATCTGGGACAATATACTTAACATAGTCCAATTGCAAAAACAAATCTTATTAGAGATGACTTCCACAACAACCATGGCCCTGAAAATGGGAAGGAAGAACACCCAGACCTTGACAACAACTTTGGCATCAGCCTCCCCAACAACACAGAAAACTATAGAAGAGACCCTGACAGGAGAAAAACAACCAACCGTTACCAATGCTAATTTATAAGCGACATTATTACCCCTGCAAGAATCAATGTCCAGAATGCAGGAGATTATGATCAAGAACCACAGTGAGACTAGAGCCGATATTAGCGAACTGAAGGAAGAAATGGGTAAACTAAAAGCGGAGATGAGAGTAGACATACAGAAAGTTGAAGAAAAGGCTGGGACAATGCAATTGGCTATGAAAAGAACTGAAATAAAAATAAAAGAAATAGAGAAGAGGACGGAACGAGTGGAGAAGAACCTAGAAAGGACTGAGGAAGACTTTAAAAACGCAAACAGAGAAATGGAAGATTCCTTGGTCCAACTAGAGATGGACAGAGCAGCAGCATACCTAAGGTTCCAGAATGTGGAGGAATCCAAAAATGTAGAACTAGAGCAACTAATGGCAGGTCTGCTGGCTGAACTAGTAGAGAAAGAGAAAGATGACTTACTCAAAGAATTCGACGAAGTCTATAGGGTGAATACCAATTATGCAAGGTGTCACAACTGCCCAAGGGAGATACATATCCATTTTTCAAGAAGATGCATGAGAGACCTAATACTGAGAATGGCCAGAGATGAGAGAATATTATATAAG